CAAGAGTGTGGAGACAGACCACAGAGAATCCAGATGGGAAAGAATGGTTAAAACTATCAGTTCAGAGAGGACAGTGGGTAAAGAATATCACACGGTGCCAGAGGGACCATCTGAGCACTAAGCTCATCCCCACTGAAGTCCCAGCAGACTTGATACGCGCAGTTACTTGCCAAGTGTGTGATCACCTGCTTTCTGACCCCGTCCAATCACCATGTCGACACCTGTTCTGTCGGCTGTGCATTATAAGGTACACCCATGCTTTGGGCCCAAACTGTCCCACCTGTAACCAACACCTGAACCCATCTCACTTAATCAAGCCAGCAAAGTTCTTTCTTGCAACCCTCAGCTCTCTCCCCCTGCTCTGCCCCAGTGAAGAATGCAGTGACTGGGTTAGATTTGACTCTTTCAGGGAACACTGCCTTAACCATTACCGCGAAAAAGAGTCCCAGGAAGAACAAACACCTTCAGAGCAGAACCTTGATGGTTACTTGCCGGTCAACAAAGGTGGGCGTCCTCGACAGCACCTGTTGTCACTGACCCGTCGGGCTCAAAAACACAGACTACGAGACTTGAAGAACCAGGTGAAGACATTTGCCGAAAAGGAAGAAGGAGGGGATGTGAAGTCTGTGTGTTTGACGCTCTTCCTTCTGGCATTGAGAGCTGGGAATGAACACAAACAAGCAGATGAACTGGAAGCAATGATGCAAGGTACTGCCAAGAAACATGTCACCCACAATATGTGACTGTCAATGCAGTTGTTGTCAGACAAATACAACTAGAATGAACAGATAATGCATTATTGAATTCCTCACATAGGATGGGGAGCCACCTATAATAAGAATGTATTACATTTTTATAACCTAATATATGGCATTGCTATTTGTTTTCTGGAATGAACTAGCCTAATTGTCCATGCCTGACTGCAGATAATTGTATTCATTTTTCAAAGGACAACAGCTTTAACATGCAATTTTACATAATTGTGTTCACATCTACTACCTGCAAAATGAATTGAACACATCCACAAGGTTATCTACACAACAGAAATTAATGACTTTTTTTCCTTATGCGCTTCACTGTCAGTTTAAATAGAATATTAACCACTTACCAAATGTGTATGTGTGTGTGTACACGTGTGAGACGCAATACACAATAACAATTCTTGTAAAGAGCCTGTTAGGATGAAAACAACATCAGTAGCCCTTGTATCTGCAAATGACATAGATACTGTCTTCGCGCCCCAGGGGAACAGGGCCCAGCTGGTGCCTGTTTTCATCATCAGCCAATAGATCAGTATTTCCAGCTCAGCTGAGTCACCTCTCCCTAACTTAAGCATTTATAATCTTGCTAATCTATAACAATTATGACTTATTCCATGCTAAAATTACAACCAGAATTTCAGATATGCTAGTGCTTATTTGATGTGTTCTGAGATTAGGTTATTAGACGCAAGATCACACATGATTACAGTGTTAGTTATATTGACTTTATTCTGTACAAAACACATCTGATTCCACCTGACAGTTTTCCCCCCCTCTCTGTGTGTTCTGTTTCAGGCAGAGGATTTGGTCTGCATCCTGCAGTGTGTTTGGCCATAAGGGTAAACACCTTCCTCAGCTGCAGTCAGTATCACAAGATGTACCGCACGGTGAAAGCCACTAGTGGCCGCCAGATATTCCAGCCCCTGCACACTCTGCGTAATGCAGAGAAAGAGCTTCTCCCTGGGTTCCACCAATTTGAGTGGCAGCCTGCTTTGAAGAACGTTTCGACCTCCTGGGATGTGGGCATCATTGATGGCCTCTCTGGTTGGACAGTCTCTGTTGATGACGTCCCAGCAGACACCATCTCCAGACGATTTCGTTATGATGTGGCATTGGTTTCTGCATTAAAAGACCTTGAGGAGGACATAATGGAAGGACTAAGAGAGAGGGCGCTGGATGACAGCATGTGCACTTCTGGCTTTACTGTGGTGGTCAAAGAATCATGTGATGGTATGGGAGACGTCAGCGAGAAGCACGGATCTGGTCCCGCAGTTCCTGAGAAGGCAGTAAGGTTTTCCTTCACAATTATGTCCATCTCTATTCGACTTGAAGGGGAGGACGATGGCATCACCATCTTCCAGGAACAAAAGCCCAACTCTGAACTCTCCTGTAGACCTCTGTGTCTCATGTTTGTGGACGAGTCTGACCATGAGACCCTGACAGCCATCTTGGGACCTGTGGTAGCAGAACGGAAAGCCATGATGGAAAGTCGGCTCATCATTTCTGTTGGTGGTCTGCTACGCTCTTTTAGGTTCTTCTTCCGGGGCACAGGCTATGATGAGAAGATGGTCCGTGAAATGGAAGGCCTGGAAGCATCGGGCTCTACTTATATATGCACACTTTGTGACTCAACACGTGCTGAAGCCTCTCAAAACATGGTGCTGCATTCCATCACACGCAGCCATGATGAAAATCTCGAGCGCTATGAGATCTGGAGGAAAAATCCCTTCTCAGAGTCAGCAGACGAACTGCGTGACCGAGTCAAAGGTGTTTCTGCTAAGCCTTTCATGGAAACCCAGCCTACTCTGGATGCACTGCACTGTGATATTGGCAATGCGACTGAATTCTACAAAATCTTTCAGGATGAGATTGGAGAAGTCTACCAGAAGCCCAATCCGAGTCGAGAGGAGCGCCGCCGTTGGCGGTCAACCCTGGACAAGCAACTAAGAAAGAAAATGAAACTCAAGCCTGTGATGAGGATGAATGGAAACTATGCTCGTCGGCTGATGACACGTGAAGCGGTGGAGGCTGTTTGTGAGCTGGTTCCTTCTGCAGAACGACGTGAGGCTCTATTGAAACTGATGGACCTCTACTTGCAGATGAAGCCTGTATGGCGGTCAACTTGTCCCTCCAGAGACTGCCCTGACCAACTCTGTCAATACAGCTACAACTCTCAGCAATTTGCTGACCTTCTATCCTCCATGTTTAAGTATCGATATGATGGAAAAATCACCAACTACCTCCACAAGACCTTGGCCCATGTTCCTGAAATCGTTGAAAGAGACGGGTCTATCGGAGCATGGGCCAGTGAAGGGAATGAATCTGGGAACAAGCTCTTCAGGCGTTTTCGGAAGATGAATGCAAGGCAGTCCAAGACATTCGAACTTGAAGACATATTAAAACACCACTGGCTCTACACTTCCAAGTATCTTCAGAAGTTCATGGAGGCTCACAAGAATTCAGTAAAAGCAATGCAAGCCACAATTAACCCTGAAGAGACTCCAGAAGAAGCTGATAACAGTCTTGATGTTCCAGATTTTTAAGTTTATCTTTGATTGACTTTCTTTAATGGACCCTTTTTCTTGCTAATGAAAATATTAAGTAATTGATTTCATTTCTTGAGATGAGATGTAATATCACATCTAATGACTTTATTATTCACCTCATTATTTTTTGAAGCTAGTGCATAAATGTGAGCTAAATTGTTTTATGGCGGAGATAAAATTGTATGGGCAGGTTTTTTTTCCCTCCCCAGCTTTTACAGGCAAATTGACTTGATTTTATCACTTGCTGCTTGTGAAATATGAGGGATTTTATTGTATTGCCAGGCTGTGACACCTTCACGAATTCATGCAGAAGGGTTATTTATGAAAACGTACGAAGGAGTTGTAAGTCACTGAAATTATATTAAAGGAGCCCCACGTTTATGATTGCTATATTAATATTTCACACAGGACAGAGACAAAGTGAAATTAGAAAATGTTAAATTTGCAGGAGGTTTAGAGGAAACAGGGTTATTTTACCAATGCATTATTTTGATGGTGCTCAAATGGTCAACAAATGACTGAAATGCAAATAGACACTATGCTACAGCATTTGCACATTTATGTAGATCACCCCATAATCTACCTCAGTCTTACTGGTCCCACAGGGAATTTGCACATATGTGCTGTTCACACAAACAAAGATTCAAATATTTTTAAAGAAATAGCCATGTCTTTGACACAATAACACCTGCTGACTATTGTCAGAATTTCTTTCTTGTTGTGTTTAAGTGAGGAGATAAGTGGTCTATTCACATCAAACTTGTAGCTCAATTTATTATTTAATACTTTGTTAATTGTGCTCTCTTAAACAAATGTATTTCTTTGTGAATTGATTTAGCTGATTTCTTTGTCTTGGTTTTAATGTTTACCTAATGTATTTCTTTGTTCTAAGTAAGATCACATTACTTGGTTTGAATTTTTGTTTCAATTAAAACTTAATAGTGTGGTTAAAACTTGTTTTAATTGCTTGATGTTCTTTTTAATTTAAAATAAACACTGCTCATAATTATAAACATAATTGTTTTATAGACTTGCACAAAAGCACTGGTAATGCTACCTGACCCATTGTATGACTTTCTTTCATTGTGCGAGAACATTACCGTGTAATAGATTGTTGCAATTAATAAACTTTTGGATTTATACTTTGTTGTCTTAATTATTGAATTTACTTGTTTTGTGATCATTTTTAATGTAGGACTGCTCCATTTGGATAATAATAATAATAAAAATTAAATAAAACCATATTAAAAATTTAATTTTTAAAAAATAAATATAACAGACAGCTGGAATGGTCATAAATTAACTGTAATAGAGACCATTTCAATGTGGTCATGTCATTGGCTCATGAACATTTCCTGCTTGTTATCAAACTATTTCATAACAAGAGGCAGTTCAATCATAACATTCCTTCATTCATTTTCTTGTCGGCTTAGTCCCTTTATTTATCCGGGGTCGCCGCAGCGCAATGAACCGCCAACTTATCCAGCAAGTTTTTATGCAGTGGATGCTCTTCCAGCCGCAACCCATCTATGGGAAACTATCATAACATTAATTATTAATTTGTGGCTCTTTTTGGATTCTTGGAAGCTGTAAAAATTAAAATAAATATACATTGGGACCATTGTTTTTGTTTACATCCCTCAATGTGGTCTATATATTCATCATAAGCATAAAACAGAAGGTTTAATGATAGTATATTTTAATGATTTCTCTTTATTCAAGCACAAAAAACATGCCCCTCCCCTTCACATTTTAAAATGACAACAAATTATCTTAGAAATAATACACAAACATTGTAAAAATAAATCCATATAGCCAATTACTACAGCAATACTTAACACATTTATGATGTTTCTAAATGGAAATTACACATCCCCAAGTTTCTGTTAGTATAAATCCCCATTAAAATGTTAAAAATGAACAACAATATAAACAAAGCTGATGTCATGATGAACACTGGGTTCCTATAATTTCATGGACACCAGATTCAAGCACTTTCAATATTAATTTTCAAATCAAGCACCTTTGTTATTCATACCTCAGCATATGTAGTCAAGGGCCTATGTTTGTTTTTAAGCACCCGCTTCGGATGTTATCACTTGATTAAATGAGCATTATCAGTGGTTATCACCTAATAGATATGGGCCAGTAGGGGCCTTCTGCGCCTACTAGTAGGCTGAGAATGCTGTTATCATTCATCCACATGGTTAATCAGCTATACTAATAGAGAAGACTCCAGATCCAGATCTGCTTTTACATTACTATGATGGATGGGTTTAGGGTTGGGGTAGCCGTTAATAAAAAGCTACTAATGGGACATTTAATAGATAATATAAATAATTCTTGTTAACTTTCAGCTGCAGCCGTAAGTGATCTATAGCTGATTAACCATGTGGATGCATGATAACAGCCTTCTGAACCTACAAGTAGGCCCAGAAGGCCCCTACTGGCCCACATCTATAGGCTGATAACCACTCATAATGCCCATTCAATACAGTGATAACATTTGAAACGGCTGTTTTAAAGTACTTTCCAGGCCTTGAATCCATAAGTCTGAAATTCAAATACTTTCAAGTATTTTCAACAAGAACCATGTGAAGAGAAAAGAAGAACAAATCAGTCAAAAAGTCTTCGCAGAAAGGTCTTCTTAGCTGGGGTCATCTTCAGTGAGACAGGAGCCTTGCGGTGGGTCATCTTCATTGGGACTCTCTTCACTGGTAACATCTGCTTCGGAGGAGTCATCTCCTGTTTGGGCAGGCCACCATGATCCAAGCAGAAGTACTTGCTGTTATCTTGGGAGAGTTGGAGCAGAAGGCTTTCAGGGAGCTCCATGCATTGGGCATGGACCCAGTGTCCACCTTCACCCCTGGAGCAGAAGATCATGGCAGGTCGGGTGAGCTCAGTAGAATAGTAGGGCTCCCAGATATTGGGGTCCACCTGGCAGGACAGGCAGCACTTGATCCAGTAGCCTGTCTGAGATTCATCCTCCTCATCTTCCTCGTTATAGGTGTCGCCCTCTACATCGCTGCTATACTCCAGCTCGTGAGGCTCTCGGCCAAAGTACAGCTCCTCAGAGTCTTCCAAAGGTGCAGAGTCCTCGAAATCAGTGGACTCCTGGCTGCCTCCCTGTGCCGTAGCTTCTCCATCTTGTTCCTTCTGGAAGCTCACTTGGTAGAAATGGTAGGCTTCTGGCGGGGTCGGGTTTCCTTCTGAAGGAATTGCAACTAGAGCAGTTCCTTTGCCCAAGCTGCCACCAAACCAAGTACGACTGTGGCTGATCTCGCTGGTCCACTGTGGAGGTTCGCGAGACTCCATATGGACTCCCACATCATCCAGGCCAACGTAGGTGCACTCCATGCGCTTCTGAGTCTCAGATTGGTATCCGCCGAAAATGATGTACTCATGATAGCCAATAGGGGAGGCTATGGCACTGGTGATTGTGAGACCTTCGTGAAGAATGGTGCAGGTAAGGACAGGGCTTCCAAGGAGAAGCTCCACATGGAGACGGATCAAACGAGAGGGTCGGCAGTCGGAGCTGAGGATGTGACCACCTAGGAAGTAGACACAATCCTGTCTAGCTAGGGCTACATGAAATGACTGGCCATCTGTTAGCTCGGGGAGGGTGTGAGCCGTACAGCAGCCAAACTCTAGGTCAATAAGGTAGACTTGAGGCGGACAGTCCACTACACTGTTCCAGTTCTGCGTGGTCCTTTCGGTTGGGGGCATATAAGATCTGCCACCAAACAGAACGCATGCAGTTTTCCCTCGGCTATTTATCACACTGAGGGTATGGCCATATCGAGCACTAGGGACATCTCCAACTAGCTCTTTTTCTTCACAACGCAATGTGACTTTACGATTGCAGCCTCTGCTGTCTACGCTCAACATGTAGAGACTGGAGGACAGCTCGTTGTTGGGTGTTCGGCCGCCATGAATGAGGTAACATTCAGGTTTGCCGTCTTGAGCCTCGAAGTGAGCTATCGCAGGACATCGGAGGGGAGGGAGATAACTGGAGTTGTTGGAAAATGAAATGGCACGCAGTTTAAGTTCTCCTTTTTTAATGCGTACACCAAATATCCCAGTTGGACATGAGCGTTTTGGCCAGCCCTTTTGTCCAAAGAGGTAAACATCACCCTCCAGGTCTAGTAAGGAGAAACCTGGTTGCACAAGGCTGCCACAATTCACTGCTGTTAGAGGCTGTAAGGACATCTTTTTGAAGGTAGCTGTGTAAAAAAAATAAAAAAAAACATTAATTTATAGTCATTTAATTGTACAATGTTAATTTTATTACCTCTTATAAAAACCAACCATGGCTTTACCACAGATAATACTTAAACTTAAAGATAACAATGGCAACCATAGTGTTACACTACACTAGACATAGTTTAACCATAGTATTTGTAGTATAACTGTGATGTTTAAATGATTATCATTGTATCAAAGAATGCTAGTGCTTCAAATTAGCATAAGAGTAAGCGAAGTGTGTAGTTAGGTCTTATTTTATTATTCAAAGTAAGAAAAAAACGCGGAACCATATCTTTCTTTCGCTGTTTCCCCGAAAACAGAAACATTTTCCACAGGAAATTGTAGTTTTCCTAACTCTAGTTTCCCGTTGAGACGCACATTAAGCATACAATATAAGGACTACAGTACCCAGCATTCAGTGCGAGAGCGGCGTCTGCGTTTAAACGGTAGGCTTTATCTGATGTACTTTTCTATGTGCTCCAAAAGCTACTATTCTCGTATTTTCTTCAACATTTTTCTGCCGTTTCTACATCTGATATGTTTTAGATTCGCCTGAAGGTAATCAAATACGCAAGAGAAGCATTAACAAACAAATTAGCAAGCACTAATAATAACTGTCAACACGAGTAACTGAGCACTACATTAACACAGTAACGTTATATGTAAACCACGTTACCTACTGTAGCCTATATTTTAATATATATCATTTTACATTATGCAAATCGTATTTCCATCAGTTCCTCTACTCTATATGTCACTTAAAACACGTACGCTTCCAAATATTACATATCTAGTCTTACAATAGTCGTCCTAGTAATGTAACGTTACTTCTTACCTCTTGGTCAGTGTACTCCGAAATCTGAGAGCTGTTTGGTGCTGGAAATTTTTATTTTAGATATTAACGCGAATTGTTTAGTGAGTGAGCCAGAGGTTGAGTGTTTGTGAAGGTTGACTGGCTCCTCTTGAGGTTTACTGTTTGCAACTGCTGCTCACAACAGGTGTTTGAGCACAATCACACGAGTTTGAATGAAAACATGCACAAACTCACTGCATCATTGGCTGTTTATTAATATGGAGTTCTGGTTTTGTGCTGCTGATCAGCAATACTCATAGATATTATATTTTTCCGTGCAATTTTAGTCATTATGAATGTTTCCAGGTCTTTCCAAATGGGGACATAACCCAACCACCCCCCGCGCTTGATACGGTTCTGTATATGCATATATTCACAGTAATACTTTTGTATAGTAACCAATAGCATAGGTTAATATACAAAAAAAAAAAAAAATCCAAATTGATAATAATATACATTTTTAGCAATGTGTTAATATTTTCTGAAGGATCATGTGACACTAAAATTCAGATTGAATACAATTTAGCTTTGGCATTAAAGAAATAACATTGTCAAAAATATTTAAAATATAATATAGTTATTTTAAATGGAAACAATGTATCCCGATATTGCTTTTTCGACTGTAATTGTGATCAAATAAATGCAGACTTGGTGACATAAAGTTTTTTTTTTTAAATAGTGCTGTAAATTATTTGGATTATCTAGATATCCTTAACAATATACACTCACCGGCCACTTTATTATGTACACCCCACTAGTACTGGGTTGGACCTCTTTTTGCCTTAGCATAGATTCCCTTCCTTTTGCATTTCAACCAGGTACTGGAAAATTCCTCAGAGATTTTGGTCCATATTGACATGCTAGCATCATGCAGATTTGTCGGCTGCACATCCAGGATGCGAATCTTCCATTCTACCACACCCCAAAGGCGCTCTATTGGATTGAGATCTGGTGACTGTGGAGGTCATTCGAGCACAGTGAACTCATTGTCATGTTCAAGAAACCAGTCTGAGATCATTCACGCTTTATGACATGGTGCATTATCCTGCAGGAAGTAGCCATCAGAAGATGGGTACACTGTGGTCAAAAAGAAATGAACATGGTCAGCAACAATACTCAGTTAGGCTGTGGCGTTGACACGATGGTTAATTGGTACTAATGGGCCCAAAGTGTGCCAAGAATATATCCCCCACACCATTACACCACCATCACCAGCCTGAACTGTTGATACAAGGTAGAATGTATCCATCTGACCAGGCAACATAATGTTCAATCTTCTATTGTCTACTTATGTTGAGCCTGTGCGAATTGTAGCCTCAGTTTCCTGTTCTTAGCTGACAGGAGTGGCACCCGATGTGGTCTTGAGCTGCTGTAGCCCACCCGCCTCAAGGTTCGACATGTTGTGTTCAAAGGTGCTCTTCTGCATGCCTCAGTTCTAACGAGTGGTTATTTGAATTACTGTTGCCTTTCTATCAGCTGGAACCAGTCAGGCCATTCTCCTCTGACCTCTGGCATCAACAAGACATTTGCCCCCACAGAACTGCCGCTCACTGGATATTATCTTTTTTTGGACCATTCTCTGTAAACCCCAGAGATGTTTGTGTGTGAAAACCCCAGTAAATCAGCAGTTTCTGAAATACTCAGACCAGCCCGTCTGGCACCAACAAACACGTCACGTTTAAAGTCACTTAAATCACCTTGCTTCTCCATTCTGATGCTCGCTTTGAACTGCAGCAGATCGTCTTGACCATGTCTACATGCCTAAATGCACTGAGTTGCTGCCTGGTGATTGGCTGATTAGAAATTTACGTTAACAAGCAGTTAGACAGGTGTACCTAATAAAGTGGCCGGTGAGTATTTTTCAGATTTTTTTTTTTCAAATTTTAAATAGTGAAATCATATTATTATCAGACAATCACCATCAAAGTACAACACTGTTTACAGGCAATTAAATTAAACTAATTCTGTTTTGAAGTCGTATTTACATGCAATTTGAGACTGAATATTCAAAGTAGCGTAATAAACAATATAAAGAGCATCACAAGTTGTCACTGATTAAAAATAACCAAATGTGTGAATAATAAAACAATTCTACCTCAATCTTTAAAATTCATATATTTTATTAATCATGCATTTATTTACATTTTACGTAAACATTTTCATACATTTATTTTCTTTTCGGCTTAGTCTCTTTATTAATCTGGGGTTAAACGCACGCGAATGCTCCACACAGAAACATCAAGTGATCCAGCTGAGGCTCGAACCAGCGACCTTCTTGCTTTGCTGGCGACAGCACTACCTACTGCACCACCGTGTCGTTGTAAACATTATTTTGTATAATTTATTTAAAACAATTTAATTATTTTAAATTACGTTTGTTTTTAGTTTTTTATACTAATGCTGCTTATCTTGTTTATCAATTTTACTATAATTTTCAACAATGAAATTATTAATTATTTTAGTTTTATTTTTACTTATAAAATTTTTTTTTTTCCCCCAAACATTTCATTAGCCCTATAGCACTTCCTTGCAGCTCCCTGAGGTACCCCAGGGCAAAGTTTTAATGGCCCCTAGCTCTGGCACAAGTTATCCAGAAAGTTCCATTATAATAAGCTAATGATAATTCCTTACATTTATATCGCGCTTTTCTGGAAACTCAAAACACTTTTTTGGGCAAAATCTCCTCATCAACCACCAGTGTGCAGCATCCACCTGGATGACGCGATGGCAGCCATATTGCACCAGACCGCACACTACACACCAGTATATTGGTGGAGAGGAGACAGGGGCTGCGTCCGAAACCGTCTACTACTACTTAGTAGGTACTGTATTTGAATTTAAACTTACTACTTGGCTGTGGGAAAAGAACATTCTATAAAATATGAATGTGAGCAGTATGAATGGAACTTGGACGTACTACATCCGCCAATATGTCATCGTCACGTAACCTACCCGCATGAGTTGCGTTGCTTCTCTCCGATTCAAGAATTCTCTCACGGGGCATCATGGAATAGCGTAGCGTGCATCGAATGCACACTCTAGAATCTCGCCGGAAGTATTCGGACATATTACTTGGCTCGCATACTGATTTTAGCGTACCTCATAAAATGGAAGTATGCGATTTCGGCCCCAGCTAGAGTGATAAAGCCAATTATGATATGGGGATGGTTAGGAGGCCATGATGGACAGAGGACAGTGAGCAAATTTGTCCAGGATGCCAGGGTAGGAAGGACATCCTGGGAATTTTTTACCACCACAGAGAGTCGGGACCTTGTTTTAACATCTTATCCGAAAGATGGAGCTCACCGAGCAGTATAGAGTCTCCATCAATATACTGGGGCATTAGGACCCACACAGACCACAGGTTGACCTGCTGGTTTATACTGGGGCATTAGGACCCACACAGACCACAGGTTGACCTGCTGGTTTATCCTGGGGCATTAGGACCCACACAGACCACAGGTTGATCTGCTGGTTTATACCGGGGCATTAGGACCCACACAGACCACAGGTTGACATGCTGGTTTATCCTGGGACTTTAGGACCCACACAGACCACAGGTTGATCTGCTGGTTTATACTGGGGCATTAGGACCCACACAGACCACAGGTTGATCTGCTGGTTTATACTGGGGCATTAGGACCCACACAGACCACAGGTTGACCTGCTGGTTTATACTGGGGCATTAGGACCCACACAGACCACAGGTTGACCTGCTGGTTTATACTGGGGCATTAGGACCCACACAGACCACAGGTTGACCTGCTGGTTTATACTGGGGCATTAGGACCCACACAGACCACAGGTTGACCTGCTGGTTTATACTGGGGCATTAGGACCCACACAGACCACAGGTTGACCTGCTGGTTTATACTGGGGCATTAGGACCCACACAGACCACAGGTTGACCTGCTGGTTTATACTGGGGCATTAGGACCCACACAGACCACAGGTTGACCTGCTGGTTTATACTGGGGCATTAGGACCCACACAGACCACAGGTTGACCTGCTGGTTTATACTGGGGCATTAGGACCCACACAGACCACAGGTAGACCTGCTGGTTTATACTGGGGCATTAGGACCCACACAGACCACAGGTTGACCTGCTGGTTTATACTGGGGCATTAGGACCCACACAGACCACAGGTTGACCTGCTGGTTTATACTGGGGCATTAGGACCCACACAGACCACAGGTTGACCTGCTGGTTTATACTGGGGCATTAGGACCCACACAGACCACAGGTTGACCTGCTGGTTTATACTGGGGCATTAGGACCCACACAGACCACAGGTTGACCTGCTGGTTTATACTGGGGCATTAGGACCCACACAGACCACAGGTTGACCTGCTGGTTTATACTGGGGCATTAGGACCCACACAGACCACAGGTTGACCTGCTGGTTTATACTGGGGCATTAGGACCCACACAGACCACAGGTTGACCTGCTGGTTTATACTGGGGCATTAGGACCCACACAGACCACAGGTTGACCTGCTGGTTTATACTGGGGCATTAGGACCCACACAGACCACAGGTTGACCTGCTGGTTTATACTGGGGCATTAGGACCCACACAGATCACAGGTTGACCTGTTGGTTTATACTGGGGCATTAGGACCCACACAGACCACAGGTAGACCTGCTGGTTTATACTGGGGCATTAGGACCCACACAGACTACAGGTTGACCTGCTGGTTTATACTGGGGCATTAGGACCCACACAGACCACAGGTAGACCTGCTGGTTTATACTGGGGCATTAGGACCCACACAGACCACAGGTTGACCTGCTGGTTTATACTGGGGCATTAGGACCCACACAGACCACAGGTAGACCTGCTGGTTTACTAACACCTCTTCCGGGAGCAACCTAGCTTTCCCATGTGGTCTCCCTTTTAGGTACTTGCCGGACACTTCAGCTGCTGGTCAAGAGGCTAGCTAAAGCTAAAATCATAAATATACATTTAAAACAGATTAGTTTTATATAACATATTAATTAAAACTAAATTGAACTTTAAACATCTTTTAATTGCCTGTGATTGTATAATATTTCACAGATTGTTCCCATTCGTTGGTCGTGTCTAGTTAGCGCACATGCAATCGCAACAGATTTTCCTTTAAGACCTGCAT